CGGAGATGAAAATACATGGCATTGACTGGAAGTAATTAGGAGAGCCAGGGGCAGCATGGGAGCGGCTGGATGCCTTTCGCTAGCCCCCCATCCACAATCTATTCTCTCTTTTCCACCCTCCCTCTCGCATTCCCTCACTCTTTCCCTCTTTCTCTCTCTCTATACTCTACTGTATTAATAGCTGTGCAAAGGATTTTTGTTCTACTCCTTCTTCTCTGCCAAGAATCTGTGCTGGGCATGGAGATCCAGGCAGGGCAACGGGAGGAGATTAAACGATCTGTTCCATTGTGAGTGATTTGGCTTCGGGCCAGCGCCGAGCTGGAAACGTCAAACATATCTCACACAAACACATGCAAACAAACACATGCTAGTATGTTCAAGTAAGCTCCTTTAACCCTCCTGCCAAGGCATAAAATTATACAGGCGCATTTTCATACGCATTTGCCTCATAAATAAAGGCTTATAGTCCAGCAGCCTCGCAAATGTGGACGCTTAAGTGAACCTTTGCAAACAAATGCTCAGCTTTTAAGCCTTTGGAAGCTGCCTTGGCTACCTGGCAGGCTGTCCAAATCTAGAAAACTCCCAACATCAAAACCGAATTTAAAGCCAAGCATGTCAGATCAAACGACATTCCTCTGGGCTCCATGTAACCAAAGTGGACCGTTTTACAAACAGCTCGACTTTGGCAATATTAGATGGGTGAAAACTAGATGTACTGGCACTCTGGGGTGAGGCAAGTAAAAGTGGGGAGAGCGTTTCCCACACTGCCAGAGCCAAACATGGGATTTGAAGTGCTGTTATGGTCATTTGGTGAAGCTTGGCAACATGGGGTTTATGTAGAGGAAAAACGGTCCTCGCTACAGATGTGTGGTGTGTATAAACATGTCACAGAAGGCATGAATGTTTATGGTTATGTCATAATAACATGGTGAACGGTGTATGTCAAAGCTATAATTGTTTACGGTTCTTTGCCTGTGTAAAACGTCTTGATTGAAAAATACTTGCAATATGACAATCCACATGAATTTTCTTAAGCTCCTCAACAAAAACAATATACATATTCATTTGTTACCTACTTCCTAAGTCAAATTTACATTATACAATTTACAGTTTATTTACTTTAATAGTACATTCTGAAATATGCTGACTTCCCAGTGGAGAAAGTGAATTGCATCTGTACTTAGGGCTAGTTTGGCTCAAGAAAATGATGCAAATTCTGCTAGTTGCAACAAGCCTAGTGGAGGATTTTAATTCCATAATGCAGATGATTCAGTCTCTTTGAGAAGATGTGCAGATTGACTTTTGTCACTGAGATTATTGATGAAAACCATTAACAAAGGGTTTTTTGATTTTGTCAGTAAAAAGAAGACGAGGTAAAATAAGTGCACCATGACAATAAATAAAAGTATTTAATGTATAAAATGTTTGAATATATTTTGTATATGTTGCACTCGCTCATCAATGTGATTTAACTAAACTAAAACTAGGTGCTATTTTATCTGAGTAAAACTGACTAATATAAATCAATATAACTTGATAAAATATTGACAATTTAAAGGAAAATACAAAAAGTCAAAATACAAAAACTATGACTAAAACAAAACTGTGAAACATCTAGAGAAATACAACACAAAATAGTTAGTTGAGAGATTTGTGAAACCCACTGTCAACTAGTTTAGCATCACGAATCACTAGAAGACAGCTGTTAATATCTACTCTGATGCCATTGCTAACTTGAAGCGCAATGAATAGCAGCTGGAAAAAAAAATCAATAAAAACTTCTTAGACAAGGATCCGGAGGCCAAATCCAGGCCGGATAATCTTCATTATTTGGGATTGACAGCATGAAGCTAAGAGGAAATCGACTGAATTTATGGCTAATACTAAATATCTGCAATATCTGTTAGCGTATTTGTGTCTGTGAGCGCCTGCGTGTGTCTATATCCTTTCTCTGAGATTTTGAGCATGCTTTAACAGAGTTACCGCCGATAACACCCGTGCAAATCTTATCTTCCTCCCACCCCAATCTTTGCTCTCTCCCTCACATGCCCTGGAGAAGCACAGCAGAACACACACACGCGTTCCAGTGGGAGTCAAAGTGTCTGACTTTTACAATACAGTGACTATGTTGAGGCACAGTAGAATCAAAGATAACCTACTGACCCCTAAACAATTTATTCACATCAGCAGTAATGGAGGGCAAGAGGCTTTTTTGTGCTCGAGGACAAATGTGAACGTGCGGTGGGACCAGGCTCCACAGGTGTGGTTTCCAGCCAAGCACCTGTCCTTCAAACCCGAGAGACTCCAGAGGAGTTCGGCAGTGCTAGATCTACACCACATCCCGCTGAATAAAGAAAGGGTGTCCTGGGTGTTCTTTAAATCCTGACTCACCCAGTGTACTTCAAATGAGGCAGAATGTCGACACAATGGCCCATTGAAACCGCAGAAATGCAGCGGTAATTGGCAACAGCAGTGCAGGACTCCTCTGTGGAGACAGCACACAGTGAGGGCAGAGCAAAAGCATTTGCTGGTCGCCTGAACTCTGGACAGGAAGAGGAACACAGGATGATACAGTTCATGTGTGTTTAAAGTTTTGACAGTAAAGTTGCAGCAAAAACATATATAATGAACCTGGCATCTTGTTGTCATGAGTAGTTGTCATATATATATTCTTTCTAACTATCCATCCTTCTTTCTATCTATCGATATATCATCTATCAATCCATTGTTCTATCTATCTATCTATCTATCTATCTGTCTGTCTGTCCGTTCATCCATCCATCCATTGTTCTTGTTGTTCTATCCATCATCGTTCTTTCCATCCATCCATCCATCCACCCATCCATCATCCATCCATCCATCCATCTATCTATCTATCTATCTATCACTGTCTGTCTGTCCGTTCATCCGTCCATCCGTCGTTCTCGTTGTTCTATCCATCATCGTTATTTCCATCCATCCATCCATCATCCATCCATCCATCCATCCATCCATCTATCTATCTATCTGTCTTTCAGTTGTTCTCGTTGTTCTGTCCATCTATCTAGTTTAATCTTATCTTTTTTATTTAATCTTTGAATTTCAATAAATTTTAATTTTACGTCTTTACATTGAAATTCAAATTTCATATATGCATCTTGTTTGCGACATCAATTTCAATTTAAATTCAGAGGACTATGAACTATAGTGAAAGAGGCCAAGCATAGAATGACGGACAGAAAGAAAGAGAGGGAGTGATAAATGAAGAGGACTGGAGACAGTGTTTCGTGTGAGACAGAATGATAGTTGAGAGACAAGAACAAGAAATGCCTCAGATACAGTGGCGGCAGTCTGAGATTGAGCCCAGGATAAACTGTTATTTCCCAAGAACGGAAAGTACATCAGGCCTCTGAAAGAATCAGAGACAGACACGGAGTTAGAAGGAAGAGCGAGAGATAAAGTGTGATACTCATGATATCTGCAGGTGCTCTCAGTACAGCCACGTGGAGGCAGGCCAGCACACATCCCCACGTGGAGTCTCGCTGTCTTTTTCCAGTCTTTCTCTCTCTCTCGCTCACTTTTTCCTGCAGGCTGAGCCTGAAAGGGAGTGCTCTGCAGACCTGCCACAACAGTCTCTGAGTATTTTACAAGCCCAGAATGTAGCTCTCTGATTATGCGGTTGGCAGGTGTGGATGTGGCAGGGAAGATAACAGCCTTCCATGTCTCTACTGACTCTCACTCACAGCCAAAATCAACTGCACTCCCTGCTACTACAATTATGATGATTTAGAAAAACCGTTGACAAACCTGAAGTCTAAAACAAGACCTTATGAAACAAGCCAATTAAATTTGCATGCTATGCAAATGATAGTATTTTTATACTCCATAGCACAAGCTTTAAAGTAATGAGTGACGACTGCATGACGTTTGAGTTTTACTGTCACAAGCAGCAGCTGTTAAAGGCTTAAAGCTGACAGGTTCAACTCAACAGACAGTCACCTCAAACAAAATAAAGCTGTAGTCCTGTAATCCTGAATAGAGCCATTATCCATCATATCAAGAACTGCATCTCAGGATCCTAAACTCCCTCAACTTTGCAGAGTTTACACTATAAATATACTGTACAAACTATGAAATGTACATAATCAAATAAAGCATGCTTTGAATGAATGACATCTGCTAAATCGGCTAAAATCATCTTGGTTTGATCAGTACTAATGTGAACAAAACATCTGGGTTGTTTGAGCATTTTAAAGTGATTGTTTTAATTAAAAACTTGTCATTTCACAAAAATCTGGAGCCTTTACACATACTGAGTGAAGGCAGATTTGTTCCTGCTCCAAATTATGCGCAATGCTGCATAAAAGCCATAATAAAACATGCAGCTTTCTATGTAAATTAAATGCAGCATCAGAGCTACCTTATTTTAATTCCATAAATTGTACATTTATTATAAGCTCATATTGTTAATTGAATTATTTTTAAGCATCAGTTGCATAACATTACTCCTGTAATTTTAATTCCCATGTATTTATGCAGCATTAAACAGCCTCTTTTCAAGAATTTAAGCCACTTCAGGTGCAGCCTCTATGCCTTTGCAGTTTAAAAAATGCATTAATTTTATAAAATAGATCCAACTCTAAATTCTGATTGTAAAGTGACTATAAAATTGATATTAATTTGGCAAGTTGCTTAGTAGCTTGTCAACATCGCAAAAACACTACTTGGTGGTTTAATTATTTATTTACATTGTGCCTAAAAACTGTGGCAGTGAAGTATCTGTCACTTGATCCAAACATCATCCCACATTTGTCAGAGACTGCGCCAAAGGTCGGAGACAAATTCTGCTCTTTTACAAACATTCAGTTAGTTATCCAGCTTCGGGCTTCTCTCTATATGTCTAAATATTTAGTTTTCCAACATAAAGTTCCTCACATCAATTAATTCTTTCCAGTTCTACGAAATGACCTCACTCGAGGTCACGCTTCCATTTAAACACATTCTCGCAAATGTCTACTCACATTAGTTTTGCTGGTGACGGAGAAGGTGGCTCTGCTGGAGAAGCGTGTGGCGGTGGGGCTGGAGGCAGAGCCGGTCAGAGCTGCTACGCTGGGGGCCGCAGACGGTGGAGACTGATGCCCCACGGTGCTGCTGTTGCTCTGTGGTGGTGCCGATCCTTCAGTGAGAAGTGCGCTTCTGTCGCACACCGACCCCGTCAGCATCTCTACCTGTCGGGTCAGGGCCTCTAACTGACCCCTGAGCTGCCGGTTCTCCTGCTGCAGCTGTGCCACGGCCCGGCCCAGAGGTCCACTCACATTAATGGCATCTTCTAGTCTCCGCTCGATGCCCAGCTTGAAAGCACTGACGTCCACATGGATCTCACGTACGGCATCCCGCAATGTGGTTTCATAGCGGGCCAAAGCGGCACACACAGTCTCCCCTTCCGGAGAGCCTTCGGCCACTGATGCCAACGGGCCTGCATCCATCTCCACTATGTGTCCAGGTACCTTCCTTTACAGTCCTACACCAAATTGAAATCTGTCTCTGATATTTCCCTCTTGAAATAGTTTACAGTCCCAGATCCATATAGAAATCCAGAGGGATTGACCTGTGAAGACAAACTCAGTCAGATACAAACTTTGTTTAATTATCTAATGAATAAAAAACATCCTTAAACCTCACCCAAAATTGTGAGTGTTTACAGACCTTATGTTTCAGTGTGATTTCTCAGCTGTGAGTGTGTCTGAGTGTGTGAGTTTGGCCCGCCGTGCTGTTTTAAAGTACAGCTCTCACAGTCACGTTAACCTCCTACTACTCCTGCAGCCCAGGGGAGGGAGCAGAGAGAGGGAGGGAACAAGAGAAAAGAGGACGAGAGATAGAGCTCCCCCTCCTTCTTTCCACTGTATTTGTATTAATCTCCACTTTCACAACACAGTGCTCTGTCTCTGCTCTCTCTCTCTCTCACACTCACTGTTCCTCACTCTTTTTTTTTCTCCTGACAGATAAAGGCCACTGCTCACATTTCTCCAGCTCAAGCATGTCCCAATGTCTCAGCGGTGCTATATCAGAGAGGAACAGTCACGCCTTTTGTTTTTTTCTGTCTCACTTTCGCTGGGTTCGGAGTGTGGTGCTTGAGGTCAGGATAAAGACTGCACTCTTAAAGTTTTAAAGTGCCTGCTTACACTGTAAAAGTGTGACAATATGCGGTTTAAAATGTCCTGACAAGTTTCCAGCAGCAAGCTAATTGCCTGTCAGCACTGAATGTGAAAATTCTGTGCGATGTGACACAATCACATCCAGTCTGTAAATATTATTTAAAGATTAATGTACAATTATGAGGTGTGAGATTTTGGGTTACCTAACGTGTTGCTGCAGAAATAGAAAGTTGCATCATGCAAACAGAAGAAGTGTCTTATGCTCACCAAGGCTGAATTTATTTGATAAAAAATGCATTAAAAACAGTAATATTGTGAGATATAATTACAATTTAAAATAACTGTTTGAAAATGTTATTTATTCCTGTGATGGCAAAGCTGAATTTTCAGCAGCCATAACTCAGGCTTCAGTCTCAC